AGAGAGAGAGAGAGAGAGAGAGAGAGAGAGAGAGTGCAATGACTTGCTGATTTTGCTGCCGAGTTTGTCTGCGAGGCTGTACACTAACCGTAGGGTTAAATTCGCAATTTTGTTTGGCTGAGGGCTAACGGAGTGACTTGCCTGCTGGGAAATTCGCGAGGGACAGACCTGTAATTCTGAGGGACTACAGGCCCTAAACTAACCGAATCCCTACTACTACCCTAACTGCCTATAGCAGGCCCGGGCTACCCTAGGATAGACAGGCCCTAAGCGGCCTATACTGGTATACTGTCCTATAGCCTATAGCCGGGTCCGGTAGAGCAACGGTACCGGTAGGTCCAGTCAGTCCAGTTTCGGTCTAGGCTAGTGTAGGAATCTATAAGGCTAGGAAGAAAACTGATAGTGGGACTTTTGGCTTTCATTTTTCGCATGCAGCGTTGGTGGCCAACCAAGTTGAGCAGCGCTGAATGTCTGCAGTGGCACCGGAGACATCACCCGTGAGTGCAGCAGCCATAGCCCGCCATCTGAGACAGCCAGCGCTGGGGCTGTACTTAGCGCATCTATCCCCTGGGGGATATCTGCGTTGGCAGGACTATCCGGGAGGTCTTCACAGAGTACATGTGGGTACTGCTGCTGCAGTAGCAGCTGGGCAGCTATAGCTGCCTTCTTCATCGTCAGAGAGACTCTTCGGCACTGAGAGCTACTTCGCTATTCATGGTCTGCATCTGGGTGTATGGCGCTGGCCTCTGGAAGGCTGTTTCAATACAGCGCTAGCCTCTGAGTAGATAGGAGTGAGTGGTGTGAGTGGGACTTGAGTGGTGAGACACTGGGTCAAACTTTGTAACGATTATTGGGGGTTAACTGTGTTGAGTTGGCTCATCATCTGAGACACTTTCCGATTGTGATCCTCACAGTTTCAATTGTGATTGGTTGTTGGGAGTTTATCAAAGAGAGAGAACACTGGGTGTGAATTCTCCCATCTGTGCATGATTGTTATTCCGCTGTTTATTTTTGGTGCGTGTGCAGGTGGACTCTGTCTCTTCCTCCCCCTGACTTGTGCATGTATGGGCATGTGTGAGTTCTTTTGTGTGTGAGTGGCAATTCAATTGTCAAACAACCAAGTTCATAACAGAGAGACCCGCGCATGTCGCCGGGCCTCTCTCTCTCTCTCTCTCTCTCTCTCTCTCTCTCTCTCTCTCTCTCTCTCTCTCTCAGCCCGGGCGCGTACGAAATTGTGAAAATGACAATGAATCTTACGTGTTTACACGGGAGATTCATTCTCATTTCGCAACAAATAGAACACAAGAAAATATCAAAACTGAGAATGAACACTCTCATTTA